CAGTGGCTCACACCTGTAATCCTAGCTACACACACATGCACACACATATTTATATACACATACACACACATATATATGTATATATATTGATATATACATCTCTCTCTCTCTCTCTCTCTCTCTCTCTCTCTCTCTCTCTCACACACACACACACACACACACTACAGAGATATAGTAATAAAATAGTATGGTCCTGACACAAAATCAGACATGTAGACTAATCAGATGCATAAAGAAATCCATGTAGCTAGAGCCATCAGATTTTAACAAAGGAGCCGAAAACATACATTGGAGAAAACACAGCCTCATCAACAAATTGTATTTAAAAAACTGGATATTCATGCAGCATAAGATATGGAACCAACCCAGATGCCCCTCAGTAGATGAATGGATCAAGAAAATGTGACACACACACACACACACACACACACACACACACACACACTGGAATTCTATGACTCCATCAGAAAGAATGATCGCCCCATTTGTTAGGAAATGGAAAGACTTGGAAAAAATTATATTAAGTGAAGTAAACCAGGCCCAAAGAAACATTAGGTCCCATGGTTTCCCTTATTTGCAGTAACTAGTACATGTTTATGACAAGCAGAAAAGATCAAAAGCTATGTACATATGTACCTATAAGATGATGCTAAGCGAAATGAATCCCAAGATAGAGACACAAGTGGTTTTATCTTTCTTGTTATTGCTTTTAATGTAATTATAATGTACCATGTGGAAAAAACTGGATATCTATATATAGAAGCCTGAAACAAGATCCTCATTCTATTCTCCATACAAAAATAATAAAAAAAAACAATGGATATAATATTTTTAAAGCAAGAGCACACTAGATACTGTGGTGAAAATGAACTATACAACTTGTGAGTGGGGAGGGAAGGGAAAATCTAGGAGAGAGCAAGGGAAGGCATGACATTCTGCAAAAAGAAATGTACTCTTTACCTGACTTATGTAACTCCTCTGTATATCACCTTTATAATAGGAAAATAAAATAGTAGGCTCTAAACCAAAAAAAAATAATCAAGAGTAAAAAACCCACAGTAAAAGGGTTTCAAGACATGGCTGAAGTGGAAGAGCACATGCCTAGCAAATGTGAGGCTATGAGTTTAAACCTTAGTACTACCAAAGAAGAAACAAACAACAAATGCTGACAATGATATCAGAACAAAAGGATCCCTTTTACCCTATAGGTGGAAATGTAATTAGTGTATCTATTATGGAAATAAGTATGCAGTTTCCTTAAAAATTAAAACCAGAACTATCATATACCATTCCTGGGCATATATCTGAGGGAATGAAAATAAGCATACAATAAAAAATCAAGATACTTGCACACCTATGTCTTTAGCAGCATATTTATGATAAACTATGGAATCAGTCAAAATGCCCATCAACTAATGAACAGATAAAAATTTTGGTGTACATATACGAAATGGAGTATATTTTAGTCATAAAGAAAAATGAAATTTTGTTATTAGCAGAAAATTGATGTAAATGGAGATAAGTATGTCAAAGGAAATAAGCTAAGCTAGACAGAGAAAGATAAATAGTTCATGCATTTTTCTCATATGCAGAATATAGACCTTAAAATCTGAATGCCATGAACATAAACTGGGACTGTTTGTGGAGGGCACCAGTGGAAGGGAAGAGGGCAAAGGAAGAAGATGATGGGAAGGTGAGTATGTGTATATGATTAAAGTACTTTATATACAGGCATGAAAATATAATGATGAAACTGGTTTAAAATTACTTTAAGCTGGGTTCTGGTGGCTTACACCTCTAATCCTAGCTACTGAGGAGGCTGAGATCTGAGGATCGCTGTTCAAAGCCAGCCTGGGCAAGAAAATCCATGAGACTCTTATCTCCAATCAACCACTAGAAAACCGGAAGTGGTGCTGTGGCTCAAGTGGTAGAATGCTTGCCTTGAGCTGAAGAGATGAGGGACAGTGCCCAGGCCCAGAGTTCAAGCCCCATGACTGCAAAACAAACAAACAAATAAATAAATATAAAATTACTTCAAAAGCAGGATTGGAAATAAGGAAATGTAATAGAGTGGGTGATTTTGATCAAAGTACATTATATGCATGTGTAAAAATATCACAAAGAGGGGCTCGGAAGGTGGCTCAGTGGTAGAGTGCTTGCCTTGCATATATGGAACTCTGGGTTCAATTCCTCAGCACCACATAAGCAGAAAAAAGCTGGATTGGTGCTGTGGCTCAAGTGGTAGAGCGGTAGGCTTGAACTGAAGAGCAGAAGGACAGTGCCCCAGCCCAGAGTTCAGGCCCCACGACCGACAAAAAAAAAAAAAAATCACAAAGAAATTGCTTTATACAACTGCAAGTAACACTTTTAGGCACCTTGAATTCCCCACCCATGTGTCTCCCCCAAACCACCAGAACAGCTCAGTAATATCAAATACAGATAATTTAGATAATAATATTGTAAAATTAAATCATTAGCTATCTAACCAATATATGCACGTGCTGCTCTATGATTTTTTAAAAAGTCATTTAAAATGCCCTCGCCAAAGAAAAAGATTAGCAAAAAGTGAAAAAATTAGATTTGTCTAGTGCTGTAAACACTGAAAAACATCTGTTGAGAGGGGAAATTCCAGCCACTTTTGGGGTAGATAGTCTACCACTTGAGACATACACCTAGCCCCCCCACTCCTTTTGCTCACTTTTTAGCTACTTTTCAGGTTGTGTCTCACATTTTTACCCAAGGCTGGGCTCAGACCACAGTCCTCCTACCTATCGTCTCATGCACAGCTGAGATGAGTATATTGGTTGAGATACGGTTGTCATTAACTTTTTGCCTAGCTGGCCTTCGATTGAGTACATCTTAATCTCTTCCTCCTGAGGAACTGGGATTACAAAAGTGTTAGCTAGTGCCCCATGTACCCTTGTGAATTTTTACACTAATAAATATTCATCTTGGGGTTAATACCCAACATTTAAAAGGAATTTAAACAAGGCAAAAGCCAATTTTTAAATAGTGTAAAGACAACCTGATAAAAATGGGAAGAATCTTTAATTGACAATTCTCAAAAGAAGATCTACGAAGCTAGGTGGGACAGTGGTATGGCTGCAATTCCAGTACTTGAAGATTGAGGCAGGAAAATCACAAATTTGAAGCCAGCCTGAACTATACAGAGATACCCTGTCTCAACACACACACACACACACACACACGACCAATAGGCATGTGAAAAAGAAATTTAACATCACAAATGATTGGGGAATTACAAACTAAAATCATAATGAGATACAACTTTACTCCAGCTAGAATGATTATTATTAAAAGGACAAAGGAAAACAAGCAATCTCACTACTGGGCATATATCAAAAAGAAATAAAATCAGTCTTTTGGAAAAAACATCTGTGATCATCTGTTTATTACAATAGTAATCACAATAGTCAGGAGTTGAAATCAGTCTAAATGTTTGACAGTGGATGAGTAGATAAAGAATAGGAATATTATTTGGCCACATTACAGTGAAATTCTGCTTTTTCAGACATATATGGACCTGGAGGACATTGTGTTGACACAAATTGAACATAGAAAGGCAAATAGTGCATGGCCTTACTCATATATACAATCTGAAATAGAGAGATCTGTAAAGAGTAGAATAGTAGTTCCCAGGGGCAAGATAGGGGCTAGGAGAGGGAAAGATGGACAGAGTGCTCAACAAGTACAAAATTAGATAGGAAAAGTAAGTTCTGGTGTTTGAATGGACAGTAGGATAAGCACAGTTAACAATAAAGTATTTTGTATTTCAAAATAGCTAGAAGATTGATGGCTCATGTCTGTAATTACAGCACCTCGGGAGGCCAAGATCTGACTACCTAGTTTGAAGCCAGCATGGGCAGGAAAGTCCACGAGACTCATCTCCAATTAAGCACCCAAAATCGGGAAGTGGAGGTGTGGGTTAAATTGTAGAGGACTAACTTTAAATGAAAACGTTGAGGGGCAGCACCCAGGCCCTTAGTGCAAGCTCCAGTACTTTCATAAAATCATATAAGAGATTTTTTTAAACCCACGTTTTCACTACAAAGAAAAAAATTAATATAGGACAGCATAGTAGTCTGTCATGTTGTGCTAGGAGCACTGGGGAAACTTCACCAGTTCAAGGCTAGCCTGGGCTATATAGTGGAGATAATGTCTGAGAAAAACACAGAGGGCTTAGTTCAGGGGTAGAGTGCAAGGCTCCTATGGTATTTCTCTTGATGGGTTGTCTAGAACTTAATAATCTAGTTGGCGGTACAAGATTTAAGTAAATGCATTTTTTGTTTTATAAACAGTCTCCCTGCAGGGTCACAAGGATTTGTGGATATAGCTTACCAATTGCATTCTAGAAAAGTCTGGATGCTTCCAGACTCATTTGCTATAACGAATCAGGACGTTTTCCCTTCACGTGAGCGTACTATCTTTTCCCAGAGACAGGGGGGAGGGGGGAAACCCTGTACTGTTTCCACGTTGAAAGACTTGTCTTATCCTGCCTGTTAGTCACGCAGCCTAAGTAGGACTCCATTCCAGAAATCCCACACCGTGTCCATCCGCTTGCCTTGTTCCCGCCCCGCCCCTCCCCGCCCCGCCCCGTCCTGCTCTGCCCCGCCCCACTCCACGCGCCGCCGATCTCCCACCCCTCCTCCCCTCGTGCTTTCCCGCTCGGTGGCCTGGCCTATGGCAAACGCCAGGAATTAATAAGGGGCGGGGATTAAGGAAAGACTTTCTGGAAGCCGCCATATTTCTGTACGGCCCCGAAGTGGCTGCTGGTAGTTGGTAGGTCAGGAGAGGCGCTGGCAGGGCGGGGCCGCCGCTCGTCTCGGCCGGCCTCCCACCCACCCCCTCCCGCTGGGGACAGGTGGCTGGAGTGCGCCCCGCCTCCGCCAGCTGCGGGTTGGATCTGGAGACGACCAGTCCCGGACGGCCGCCGCCAGCTGCGTGGGCGAGTGGGAGTGAGGACTAGTCCAGGGCGGCCGGGTAGCAGTCCGGCGGCAGCAGACAACTATCGTGGCGGCCAAAAAAATGCTACTGGGTCGAGGGGCCCCGGCGGGCTCTGGGCCACCAGGCGTCGGGCTGTCCCGGCTAGGCAACGTTCCACAGGCCTTCGGTATCCGCTTGAGCACGGTAGGTCGGAGGGACTGGGGGTGAGGGGATAGCCCGAGGGGGCGGACTCGCGCGCGGGCCCCGGGGCTGCGGGGGGCGCTTGGGGCGGGCTCGGCGGGCCGAGGCCTCACGCGGGACGGGACCTTCTCTCACCCCCAGATGAGTCCCCGCTACCTACAGAGCAACTCCAGCAGCCACACGCGACCCTTCAGTGCCATCGCGGAGCTGCTAGGTGAGTGGTGAGGGCGGGCCCGGTTGCGTTGGGCCGAGGCAGTGGTGCCAGCGTGGTGCTGCGGGCGCGACTCTAATGCGTAGAGCCGCGTGGGCCTGGGCTGGGGTCACAATCGGGGTCTGTGTCGGGCTTAAGGCCACGGCTTGAGAGGGGACTTGGGCAGCAGCCCCAGCTCCACCAGCCCTGGAGGAGGGGTGGGTTTCTCTCCCAAGGTTCCATGGAAAAGCGAAGGAAACTAGGAGTATTCATCCAAAGACTTACGACTCCAGCGTGGTTTTTCTCACTGCTTTGTGGGGTTTCGGCAACTTTGTTACAGTTAACAGCCCAAAGGAGATGCATAAAATTCTCAGGCCCGGGCAGCTGCGCTTCACGGGGGCTGGCAATCTACTGAGAACGCCAAGCCAGCGAGGGAAAAGAGCAGACAACTGGGTGGGGTGATTAGGAAAGATCGAGAAAAAGTTTCTTTAACTTTGGACACAAGAAAGTCTAGGAATGATGGGACATCTCTTAAGAGATGACACGAGTGCATTTGGCTCCCTGAGGCTGCCTAGGGCTGGGTTCGTAGTCCACGAGCGCCCTCACACCGCTGGAATGAATACTGAGGACTTAACCTCTCGCTCTACCGGTGTTTGCTTTTAAAGCATTTTTTTTTGGTTGATCCCTGGAAGCCAAGTCCACCAGCTTTTGTGGTACCGTGCAGAATACTGTGTGGACAGCAAAGAAGGAAGGCACTCCTGCATAAAATACAGCAGCACACAGAGCACATTTTAAACGCTTCAAAAAACTGAAAGAAAGGAGAGATTTAAGAGAGTAGTAAACAAAACAAAATCTTGAAACCGTTTTCAGAGCTCCTAGACTGAGTGGCCTTAGGATACGTAGTCCTTTCCTAAGTCATTTCGGTGGCCAAGCCATGAATTAGCAAGAGGAGAATTATTTGGAAGGTGACTGAGAATTTTGGTGATTTTCACTAGGTGACACCAAATGTTTTGCTGTGTTTGACTAAAATAGACGGTGGTATTGATATATTTCAAATTCTAAAAAACGCTCTATATTTTAGGTTTGGCACTGTGCCTCATAAACCTCTGCAGAATGAGATGAGGTCTTTGTGCATGTAACATAAAAAGATTAATAACATAGTGGGAGGTGGGAGACATAAATGTGCTGGGAGGTATTTGTTGTTCTTTCATCTTGCAATACATGCGTTGAATTATTTGTATTGTGCTTGATAGGTGATTTACTAAGGTTTAATGAGTTTTGTAATACTAATATATAAATATATAAACATGGGCTGGGAAGGTGGCTCAGTGGTAGAGCGCTTGCCTTGCATGCATGAGGCCCTGGGTTCGATTCCTCAGCACCACATAAGCAAAAAGAAAAAAGCTGGAAGTGGCGCTATGGCTCAAGGGGTAGAGTGCTAACCTTGAGCTGAAGAGCTGAGGGACAGTGCCCAGGCCCAGAGTTCAGGCCCCACAACTGGACCCCCCCCAAAAAAAATAAACATGTATGTATGAAAAACCTAGACCAGGCCTAAGATGGCTTAACTGTAGTGTGAATATGGATGTTATTATGTACCAACACAGACTTTAAATCCAAATCACAAATATTTGTGGTGATATAAGAAAAAGGGACACTGGCCTGTTAACTGGTAATCCAAGCCTTTCCTTTTGAGTTTTCCTTCAACAATTTTCTCTACTTACATGCATTAATTTTCTAGTGAACTATTCGAGTAAATATTTATTGAGCAACCACTGTGAAAAAGGCCACTATGCTAGGTACATAGATGAATACAATTTACATATACACTTCTAATAGAGGAGATAAACACAGAAAGTGTTTGTTTTGTCTGACACAAAATAGAAAATAATATAGCAGCAAGGATTCACTCACTGTTGCAGGAGTTTTGACAGGAAAAAGCAACGATTTCCAGTTTATCAGGAAGGGGGGAGTTAGGAAAAACTGTGAAGGAGGTGACTTTTGAGCTGAGATTTGAAGGATTGGGACATGTGTATGTGGTGGCGGGAGGGCATTACAGTGTAAAGGAACAACTGGCTTCCACATATAAAAGGAAACATACACCATTGGTCTGTTTGAGTTTGGCTTACCTCACTTAACATGATTTGTTCTAGGTCTTATCTATTTCCCTGCAAATGTACTCATTACCTGACTTATGAAATGGTAACCCCTCTGTATATCACCTTTATAATGACAACTAAAAAATTAATAAAGTACCAACTAGGTGAAAAGAAGCATGGAGAATACTGAGCTGTTGGATTTACTTAGATCATGGAGGTCCTCAGAAACTCTGTAAAGAACCTTTAAAATATCTTTTTAAATTTACCCTTTGAGGCTATTAAATAGTATAAATAGCAGTATCAAATAGTATTACTATCTTTTCCCATCTTGCAGATGAGGAAATGGAGATCTAGAGAATTAATGTATTTTTCCAAAGAAGTAAAGCCTAGCATCTAAGAGATCCAGGATTTAAACACAGGTATTCTTTACTCCAAGTTCCAAGTAGGAAATTAGGTTAGAAAGGTGAGTTGGAATCAGGATGTGACCAGGAGGCACTGGGATTTGGCCTGTTAGTCTGAACTTTACTGACCAGGAGAATAATGTGATCAGAGCTGTGCTTCAGTAAAGTTACTCTTAAAGCAGTATGTAAGATGGGTTGGATGAGAGAGAAGTGGATTGGAAAGATGAGTTATGAGGCTGTTAAAATAATACAAAGAATAAAGTCTGTAAAAATAAGAGAATGAAGGTATATAAGATAGTCTATTAATCCTTTTGTCTGGGCCTCAAACCTAGGGTCTTACTTCATCCATGCTGGGCAAGTACTATACCACTGAGCTCCCAAAATTTTGTTGAATTTCAAACTTTTGGTAAGTTTAGTGCCAATATATGTGTGTGCGCTGTGCACAGGCAGAAAACAGGCAGAGGCAATTTTCAGGCAAGAATACGTTTAGCTACTCAACAGATGACTGTAAGTCAGCAAACTGGACATGGCAACCTTGCAAGTATCCATGTACCTGGATAGGCAAAGATAGAAGCTTGTGAAAGCACTGTGTCAAAGCAGCCTCCTACACACCACATCTCTCATGGGAGGCTATCACTGTCAAATAGTTTCTTATTATCACTAAGGTTCTCATGAGATTTGAGACCTCAGTTGCAAGTTTTTTAGAAGACAAAGACCCAGGATTCTCATGTCCATGCCAAAGTGATAGGATCCTCCCACTAAAGGGAGACAAGCTAAGACTCCCTGGGATGTAGTAGCACAGAGGACTGTGCCACCAGGTTAGGGGTAAAGCCACTGCAGAATCTCACAATACAGCTCTCACCTAAGTAGTGAGTGAAGGAAGAAGAGAAGAGTAAAAGTTCGCTCATTGTCCTCCATGTTCATGGACTGGACTGGGGAGAAAAAAGCCTATGCTACTTGGAGGCCAATTTTTAGAGGGTTAAGCAGCAAAGAGTTGAAACAAGCTGCCAGTTTGGTGCCTTACTGATATAAGTTCATCTGTTGAAGCTGATTATATTATAATTTGTTGAGGCAGAGTGAAAGGCTATATAAAATAGCAAGTAAGTAGGTGTGTAAAGCTGTGTTTGCTAGTGGTCATCTACTGATTTCATCTTCCCTGCTGATCCAGCTGACCCTGGCCTCTCCTGTATACCGTACCAGTTGTACTCCATGAGTTTCTAGCCAAGGAGATAAAAGTTAGCTGCTCTGGCAACTACTGTTTAACTCTTGAAGTGTCTGTGTTTAAACACTTGGGTATTTTTTTTAAAACCAGCAACCCCCCCCAAAACAAAACCAGGAACAGGTAGCAAGGTGCCAGTGGCTCACCCCTGTAATTCTAGCTACTGAGGAGGCTGAGATCTGAGGACCGCAGTTCAAAGCAGGAAAGTCTCTGAGACTCTTTATCTCCAATAAACTACTCAGAAAAATCCAGGAATGGCACTGTGGCTCAAGCAAGTAGAGCAGTAGCCTTGAACAAAAAGCGGCTCAGGACAGCACCCAATCCTGAGTTCAAGTGTCAGGACAAAAAAAAAGAACTTGGTAAAGTTTGGGAGGAAAAGAGCAATTTTGCCAGAAGCCTGTGTGCTGATTCATTCAATGAACTATGAACTATTGTATAAGCGTGTAATTGAAATTAATGTGCTGCATGTGAATTGTGAATATTTATAAAGCATTAGATGAGATTGCTTTTTCCACGTATAAATGATGCCCATTTTGTTGACAAAATTGCGTTAGTCTTTGGTTGTGTACCAACAGGAATGACTGACTGATACAAGGCCCTCCTTGTGAAGTAAAATTTCTTGAAGGAGTGCAGACAGCTGTACAGTGTTGGATCCTTCTGTCAGAGAAAAGAAAAAATACTTTAATCTTACAAAGTTAAGAACTTACTTTCTGATAAACCTACCATTGCATGCCAACCTGTAATTCCTGCCCATAGTTAACCCATTTATCTTAGCGCATAATATGGTGCTCAGGCCCCATTTGGACTTGGAAGACTATCAGAACTCAACCCTCCTGTGGGGCTATTGGAAGTACCTTTCTGCTGTTCAGATTTTTTTGAGGTCATAGTCACTGATAGGTCTTACCAATGACTCTAGCAATGCCATAGCGGTCTTTGAAATTAATCTGTGCTTGTTTATATGGTATATATTCCACACATTCAATTGGTTGTAACTGATACTGTTACAACCAATTGCATTGTAAATGGGTATATTTGAATATGTGCAACACTTTTCTTGATTGTAAGGGAAGTTACCATTGGGGAAATAACATGGTCTGGTCAGTGGTAGTGGGACAAGTATATGACTAGGATCCTACCTGGCTCACCCAGCAGCCCAATTTCAGTGAAGCAGTGTAGAATGTCAGAACAAAGGAAGAGTTAGAAAGGTCTCTATCTTGTCTAAAAAGCTAGTAAAGACAGGAACAATTAAGGAATCTATCTGTATTAGTCCATTTTGTATCACTAACAATACACCGGAGCCTGAGTACTTTATATATAAACAGATTTGTTTGCCTCATAGTTCTGGTTGCTGGAAAGTCCACACAGCTTGGTTCTGATATCCTGGCAAGAGCCTCCTGACTGCTTCCAAACAAGTTTGGTAGAGAAACCAAAAAGGATCCAAACTCACAAAGCAGTCTTCGAATTATAGCAACACTCTTTAGTGGGAACTACTTCTGCCCTTTCAGACTTGACAGCATCAATCCCTTCCAAGGGAGTCATCCCCTACAACCTAATTATCTTGCATAGGCTGTACCTCTTAGCAGTGATGGAACATCTGGTCTGGGGGCCATATAAGGCTACAGAAGTCATTTGGCAATGAGTTTTTTTGGCTTTCAATGGCCCATCTACCTGTATTAATAATTTTGTATGGCTCTTGAATGATACTATATCTATCTATATATATCCAAGTGGCCTTCAGCAGGAAAATATTCCTCACCCCTGCAAGGTTCCACTAACTGGGCAGCACCACACTAAGGATCAAGCTTCCAGCTCATCTTTTAGGGCACAAATAATAACACTGTTCAACGTGTGTTACAGAACATATCTGTATCTGTGCTAGTGAGTCTTAAGGAAACTTTTGAGCTGCATATGTCAGTGGCAGACAATTGTCTAAAATGTGGCCTGTGGCAAAAGATATAGTCACCAGACAATACTCGTCTTTGAGGGGGTGGGTACATGCTAAATATGTAATAAAATATGGTTACATTTGATGTCTTTGGAGTCAAATAATTAAACTAAAGTGAAGATGTAACTCCAGAGAAGTTGTGAGATTTTCTATGTATTTTGTTTTACTTTAATTCAGAACTTTTCATTTCATAAAGGGGCAGAACTAGGCACCCATGGTTCACACTTGAAATCCTAGGTGCTCAAAAGGCTGAGAATGGAAGGATCATGATTCAAGGCCAACTCCGGCAGAAAAGTCCACAAGACCCTATCTCTAAAATAACTGTTGAAAACAGGATTGGAGGCATGGCTCAAATGATAGAATACCATTTGAACAAGCCTTAGGACATGAGTTCAAACCTCAATACTCCCAAAAGAAAGCAGGGAGAGTAGGCAACCTAACCTTTAAGACTAATACAAAAACGGCAAAATTGGCCGGGCCCTAGTGTCCCACACCTCTAATCCTAGCTACTCAGGAGGCAGTGATCGTGGTTCAAAGCCAGCCAGGACAGGAAAGTTGACGAGGCTCTTATCTTCACCAGAAAACTGGAGTGGTGCTGTGACTCAAGTGGTAGAGCACTTGCCTTGATCTGAAGAGCTTAGGGATAGCATCCAGGCCCAGAGTTCAAGCCCCATGACAGACCAGAAATAAAAACCAGCAGAATTGTTCTTTCTCTCTAAGCATGCTTGTGGCCATCACTGGGATTTAGGCAGTCACTTAAGATGATTTGATTTTAACACCCTGACTCTTTCAATGGTTCTTATATCATGAACAGGGATCATGATAAAGTCTGTGTTAACAGAGGTGATTAAAAAAGTATAGGAAATAAAATTAGCATAAATAAACTGTAATATGTGTAATATATAACTATTGCTGGTTCAACTTTTCATTTTAGCTACCCCTTTACTATACATATTTGTGAATAGTGAAGTGGCTAAAAGATAAGAAATTTGATAAGGCCAGAATCAAAGCAAAATGCTTACAAAATAGTTTCACCATAGATCCTAATCTTGGAGAAAGACAGATTACAAATCAGCTATTTCATGAAATCTAGAAATCAGCTTCATAACTTTCTCTGCTGCCCTGTTACTCTCCATAACTCAGTGTACATGTGCTGCTTATAATGCTCCCTATGTACTTTCAGGATCATTCATGTGGGGAATACAAGGACAGTTTCCCATGTCATGGAGATACTGAAGTAGAAAATTTGGTGGGGAGGGGAGGTCCTGGGGTTTGAACTCAGGACTTGGATGCTGTCCCTGAGCTTTTTTGCTCAAGGATAGCACTCCACCACTCGAGCCACAGCTCAGTTTCTAGCTTTTTGGTGGTTAATTGGAGATTAAGAGCCTCACGGACTTTATCCGCCTGGACTGGCTTTGAACTGCAATCCTCAGAAGTTAGCCTCTTGAGTAGCTAGGATTACAGGCCACTGGTGCCTGGTTGAACTATAGAGATTTGATACTATTGGAAAGAGACATCTAATATCAAAGATTTCTACCTTTTTCAGATAATGCTGTAGATCCAGATGTATCGGCCAGGACAGTCTTCATAGATGTTGAAGAAGTCAAGAGTAAATCTTGTTTGACCTTTACTGATGATGGATGTGGGATGACACCTCACAAACTCCACCGAATGCTCAGGTAAAAAAATGTCTTCATTCTCTTTCTTTCCTCTTGACTTTACAAACTTGAATTCTACTTAAGGCTTAGTAATTTTTTAAAATACCTTTCCAATTCCTGATTAACCTAAGCTTACTTTTCAGTCAAAAAGTATTGGATTTGAGATGACTTCTATGTTAGAACTATGAAGATAATTGAGGCCTATACAAGATAAGCATTCACATGTATAATCTTGGAAGATTTTCTAGTAGAGTAAGGAAATTCTCTTTTTTTAACTGTTGAAGTAATGATAATTTTCTGCTGTCACTCTCAGTTCACTTTATAACTCTTTCTATGGTTGATAGTACATGTTTGTGCTTTATTATTATTACACTTGAGTACAAGATGAGTTTATTTCCTTCCTTATCTTGCTTTTTTAGCAGATATGGTTGATTATTCCATGTGGCTTCCTGAACTAGAGTATGTGAAAGCATGAGAAAAAATTGAGGGGTGCTTAGGAGGAGGCGTAAAAATGAAAAATTTATTTGGTTGCAGTTCTCTTTGAAACTATCCTAAATTATTATCCCTGTTTGTAGAGAAAACCCGTTGATCGGTCAATGAAACAAAAGTTAAGTTTGGTCAAAGCAACTGGTTATATTTTATAACTCAAGTCTATATACCTTGTGTCTCAGATCCCCATAGTTAGAAGAACATTTGAGAAAAGCTTCTAGAAGGGAGATTAAAGCATGGACAATGTGTTGATGAAAGTATGAGAGTTGACCCTGTCATTTAATTTATAACATCAATTTTTCCTCAAAGTTGATAATATATTAAGAAAAAGACAATTTACCAATATTTCTACATCTTTCATTAAAAAATAGTGAAATTAAATATTTAGAAAAGGAAAAGACAATTCAGATGAGATGGAACCAATTCTGTATGTAGCAATTTCCCCCTAAAGTTGCTTATCTTAATATGTCCTTCCCAGCATACCTTATCCCAGTGACGTAGCCATCAAACAATAGGTGCAGCATATCTGATTACCTTCTATTTTGCATGTGAAAGTTGGAATAAGTATAAGAGGGAAGAAAAGGATGATTTCAAAATAACTACAATTTTTGTTCCAGATTCATTCATGTGTTAAATAAATTCTTACTGAGCACCTGTGTGCAAGGTACTGGAAACGGACATGATCCTTTTGTTCTCAAAGTGTTAATAGTTTAGTGAGAAAGAGAATTACACTAGTGGTAGAACTAAGTACGCTGTTGTTCTATCAATGGAAGTCCTAGAAGAGAAGAGTTAATTTTATTTTATTATTTTTTTTGGGTCCAGTCGTGGGGCCTGAACTCTGGGTCTGGGCACTGTCCCTCATCTCTTGAGCTCAAGGCTAACGCTCTACCACTTGAGCCACAGCGCCACTTCCGGCTTGAAATTTTTCTGAAAACATTTAGCAAAGGGATTGAGAGAACTGGACTAGTGGTAGAACTAAGTAGGCTGTTGTTCTATCAATGGAAGTGCTAGAAGAGAAGAGTGAAATTTCTAAGAAAACATTTAGCTAAGGGATTGAATCTAGCCTGGGGACTTAAAAAAAAGGCTATTGTGAAGAAGTGACATTTGAAATGAAGTATTTAGGATCAGTATCCATCTATTAAAATTTTTATTCCCTTCCCAAGGAGCAAAACAGGCAGAAACTTCCTTAGATTTAGTATCTTCTCTGTTTTTACAGGTTAAACATGTTTCCCACTAATTTGCTCTGAGCAACTCCTCCTTATTAAAACATTAATTTTAGGGGACTATTTTAGTGAGTGTTTAATACACTGTATGTACTGGATTTGTGTTTGAATGCTAAAACAAATTTGTATTAGCTAAAAATATTTACCTACAAGTGGTTACTTAATCTGATCTAATAGTAATCCAAAGATGCCACTTACTTCAATTTCTTTTTGTTTTTTCTTTTAAATTGATTGAATATTCATTGTACAAAATAATTTCTTTGATATTTTCATACTTGTATATCGTTTGCTTGATTGTAACTAAACTTCAGAAGTAGCTTTGAAAATGTTAAGTGTATTTTTCTAGTTTTTTATGTTGGGCATATTTTGTATTTTGGAAAAAAAATAGAAGTCATTATTGAACATTGTTGAGCCTACAGAAATTCTGTTTGTTATCCTGTCTCCCATTTTCTAGCCCTGTGTTCCTCTTCCTACTTTCATGCTGATGAAATAGTGCAATGACAGTAAGTTTCTTTATAAACAGATTCCTTTGAAAGTCCAATTAAAAAACAATGCATATCATTAAAATTTTAAAGGCACATTGTAAGTTTTCTTTAGTTTCTGGGAATATTGTGTGAACTAGGTAGCCTATGTACTCAGTTGCTTTTTCTAGCAAGATGGAAAATTTCTTTCAAAGGTCAAGGGTTAAAAACAGCCACAGATTGAAGGTATTTTCTGCCTCTGCTCAGAAGTGTTCTAAAACAAGCTAGAGAATAACAGGATGCTCATAGCAGTTTTAATTTCTCTATTACATCACCAGTATATACAGTCAACAATAGTGCCTGTCTTTGTGTGTTTTGGTTTTTGGGAAGGCTTGTTCGATTGGTCAACATCCTAATTTAAATTTATCTCACTAGAATCTAGATTTTGTGACCTCTTAAGGTACTCAACAAGAATTTACAGTAAAAGAGCTGGTACCTGAATCCATTGGTGTGTAAATAATGTTGCTTCTTACATGAGAGGCTAGAGCAAAGGCTGACTCAGTGAAGGGAAACCACCAGTCTAAACTAAACCATGATAGCTCATGGGAATTTTTTGTGTGGTTCTATTGGGATTGAACTTAGAGCCTGGGCATTATTCCCTGTTTATCTTTTCTTCTGAAGGCTAGAGTCACAGTTCTACTTCCAGCTTTTTTGTAGTTTAGTGGAGATAAGAATCTCATGGACTTTCCTGCTTGGGCATCTGGCTTTGAATCACAACCCTCAGAACTCAACGGCCTGAGTTGCTAGAATTATAGCCGGTGTGAGCCACCAAATCTAGCTGGAAAAATTTTGAGCTATATTCAACAATGAAATTATTCCTTATAATTCTCTCATTGTGTGTGGTGAAAGCTTTTTTTATTTTTTTGGTTGGTTGTGGGGCCTGAACTCTGGGCCTGGATGCTCCTCAGCTCTTCAGCTCAAGGCTAGTGCTCTACCACTTGAGCCACAGTGCCACTTTTGGCTTTTTCTGCTTATATGTGCTGAGGAATCGAGCCCAGGGCCTTATGCATGCAAGGCAAGCACTCTACCTCTGAGTCATCTTCCCAGCCCATGTGTTGAAAGCTTTCATGCTAGTATTTGATTGGTACTAGGCATGTCTACAAATATGCATTTAAATAGAATACCTAGCCTGGGAATTGAAGTGGAAAAAAGAGCACCTGGGAAGTTTTAGTGAAACATAACATCATCAACAAGTCCAGACCATCCGGCAATTCTCTTCTCATTATATCTGTGTTTTTACATTCTGCTTTTAGCCATATCCTGTTACTTGTTTTCTCAATTTTATATAGTTATCTGGTCTATCAAAACTGAGTAACTGCCCCACCACAGATGAATGGATCCAAAAATTGTGGTATCTATACACAATGGAATATTATGCAGCCATTAGAAATGACAAAATAATGGCATTTGCAGGGAAATGGATGGAGCTAGAAGGAATCATGTTGAGCGAAGTAAGCCAAGAACGAAGAGACAAACGGTACATGGTCTCCCTGATAAGTGGATGCTAAATCCAAAATGTTAGGTGATATGACAAAACTAACAGGACTTAAGAAACAAAGAACTCCCACTCATCTGGTCGAACCACTATTAAATATCCCCATGCTGCTGATCACATATATGGTATATAACATGTGAACACCGTTATATATTACAGACTGATAGACAATTTGCTCCAGGAAAGTTAGAATGAACTTGTGACTTTAAATGAGCATCATTATTCCACAATACTGTGAAATTTCCGGAAATTATGTAATCACTTAATCACAATCAAAAAAAAAAAAAAGAACCTCGGGGAAGGTAGGGAGGGAGGGGATGGTAGGGGGAAAACAATGGAGGGGGTAACAATGTTCAAGAGGAAGTGTACTCATTACCTCACTCATGTAACTGTAGCCCTCTGTATAGTATCTTTACAATAAAAAAAAACAAAAAAAACTGAGTAACACCTTGAAGATTTATACCTAATAAGGGAACAAGGTAAAAGACGGCTAGGAAATAAGAGAATAATATAGTCTATTTTTTATCCTTTTACCTTAACTATCTAATTGAAACTTGTATGGTAATATAAAAGCCTTAAATCCAGATAAGCGTACAGAGTCATTTCATATGGCAGATAAGAGTCCTATTTATGAAAAGCTCTGTGTTTAACATGTGGCATTAGATCTGAAATAGGGATAGGGAATAACATGATAATTCTCAGAATGACTTATATTTTTAATGTTTCTTTAAAAAATTTGGCAGTACTGAGATTTGAATTCAGGGCCTTGAGCTTACAAGGCAAGTACTATACCATTTGAGCTATACTCTGCCCTCAAAATGACGAGTCATTTTAATATTAAAGTTTGAATACCACTTTAATATAATTTGTACAATACATAATCCTCATAATGACCCAATCTTTCCTAGCCAATTTTTTCACAGGAGAAATGAGAATGTCTGAATCTTAACGTTTTGTAAGTCTTATTTCCTGAAATACTGAGGGCTCACTGAATGCTCTTTGCTGTTCAAAGGACAATTTCCTTGGAAGTTACCTTTCTTTGTCATTAGATTCATTTGTAGGATGCACAAAGCTCTAATAAAGTTTGTACCCCCAAGGATATGGTATTACGGTATAATACTCCCCTTTCTTGGGCATCTAGTCTGTAATATATTAAATTCTTCTTTAGACTATAGTATGAGGGCAAGAATTATATCTTTTTTATTCACTGTTGTGTATCCAGTGCTAAGCACAATACACAGTACATAGTAGATTCAATAAATATTAACCATATGGTAGTGTACAAAATTGTAAAAATTAGTCCACCTAGAGAGAAACAGTCTTTAAAATTGGTTTTATCTGTGGTGAAGATAATTTTCTAGATACCATTTCTTTAAATTTTTGAGTTCTATTCTTTTTTATGTGAGTATCAAAATGGCAAGTAAGAAAGGGAATGGTTCTAGCTCTGAGATGAAGTTGATCATAAAAGGGGCTACAGAGTTTGCTAAGGTGACTCAGTGAGAGGCCCTTAATAGAACAAGGGAGACTTTATACTGCAGCTGTTTGCAGATATTCAGAGGCAGAACTACCTATTTTTATCTCTTGGTGATATTCCAGTGAACTGTCCTAGCAGATGGAGCAGAGGGTAAGAATTGGAAGGGTTATCCTTTGAGAGCTGAAATTGTCAAGATATATAATCTCCAACTTTCAGATTTCTAGAGGATGATGTGAACAGGTTTGAAAGATAGCTTCTTTACTACCTTTGATCAGTGCCACTATCTGGTACTTTTATATTCTTCAAGAAACTATGCTTTTCACCTTAACCTAACTTTCTATTTTATCTAGACAAGAGAGCAGCTGCACAGTCCTTTGCCAACTCTGTTGGCCAGTGAAAAGGGGCCTTCTTTACATTTACAAAGTTATGGTTCTAGCACTGTGGAGATTTTTACACACAAACAACTTAGAAAAATCAGTCTCATTGACCCTTAGTAATTTCCTATGTTTTTAACTTACAGTTTGCAAACACCAAAAGGAGTAAAAAAATGTGTTTTTCAAGTGTAAGTCAATATTCTATCTTAGGATGATTTTAACATTTCTGATTTTTTTCTTGTGTAATTACAGCTTTGGCTTTACAGATAAAGTAATAAAGAAGAGCCAGTGTCCCATCGGTGTCTTTGGCAATGGTTTCAAGTCAGGTTCCATGCGTCTAGGAAAAGATGCTCTTGTCTTCACCAAGAATGGGAGTACTCTCACTGTTGGACTCCTATCACAGACCTACCTGGAATGTGTCCATGCACAGGCGGTTATTGTACCAATTGTTCCATACAGTCAGCAAAACAATATCCTTTGTGCTGGTTAAAATTTAGTGTTGGTTAAAAATGAGTCTAGTCTGATTCTTTTGTTAAGAATATTTTTCTTCTGGGCAGTTGCAGCTATCTCTTGATATTCATGTTTCAAGTAAATTTTAAAATTTAGAAATATATTCAAATGTCTTCAATTTAACTGGAATTTCTCCCTATTATGTTTTTAAAATAAATAAGACCATGGACAGAAGTTCAGAAATACTTTTACTCTGTTGAATACTTTTATTCTCTTCTCTGTAGTTTGATCTATATAGTCTGTTTTCCCCAGTCACTATGCTTCAGTACCGTTTTCAGGGCCTCCTTTTATCCCCTGAGGCTAGCTATAGTTATGTTTATACTTGAAAAATAATAATATATCAGCTTATCTGATAGCAGAATTACTTCTTGTTCATTTCCTTGTACCCAGACAATATGGCAGTAAGATTTGAACTTAATTGCTTCCAAATAGTTTAAGATTTCAGCCTTTGACATTTTCACAAATATAACATTGTCTTTTTTGTATTGTATCTTTGAAGATGTATTCTGCAAGTGTTCAGTTTTTTTTCCTTTGACTGTATTTGGTTTTACAAAAAATGATTATTACTGAGGATTCCTTGCCTAGCTTGGAAGCCATCTTGAACTATTCAATTTTCAACAATGAAAATGATCTACTGGCCCAGTTTGATGCCATCCCAGGCAAAAAAGGAACTCGTGTTCTCATTTGGAACGTCCGCAGGTATACTATTCCAAGGATAATAGATATTAATAGAGAAAGGTAGAATGATGGAGCAAAGTTTAAGCCAGGTGCTGATGGCTCATGCCAATAATCCTAGCTACTCAGGAGGCTGAGATCTGGGGATCATGATTTGAAGCCAACTCGGACAGAAAAGAACCTGTGAGACTCTTACCTCCAATTAAACATTCAAAAATCGGAAGTGGAACTGTGGCTCAAAGTGGTAAAGTGTTAGCCTTGAGTACAAAGAGGCTCAGGTACAGGTGCCCAGGCCCCGAATTCAAGTCCCACCACCAAAAACAAACAACAAAAAAATGATGAGGGCTGGGAAGGTGGCTCAGTGGTAGAGTGATTACCTTGCATGTATGAGGCCCTGGGTTTGGTTCCTCCACACCACATAAGCAGAAAAAGCTGGAAGTGGCGCTGTGGCTCCAGTGATAGAGTACGATCCTTGAGCTGAAGAGCTGAGGGACAGCGTCTAGGCCTAGAGTTCAGGCCCCACGACTGACCAAAAAAAAAAAAAAATGAACCAGATTTTAATCCAGAGAAACAGATACATTTGGATATGTTTTTCTATAATGTTCACTTGGTTGTATTAAGAGTGGTTCTTGGTAAAATACTATGCATTAAAGGTGAAAGCGTGCATATCTTGAGGTTATTGCTACAGATAACTGGGATACTCTATGTAAGGTCCTCAGAATCCTTTATAAACTTCGAGTTCCTATTCATGGACACTGTTTTGAGATTGGTAGATGATAGTTATTCTACATGTTTGACTAATAAGCTGAAGTATGAGAAAGTGATTAATTAAATGTGATCTTTCAAAAAAATAAGGTCCATAATGCTTTTAGAAGAGCTGGAGTAGAAGAACAAAAAGCATTGAGGCAGATCAATTTCAACTATAATGAGACTGTCTTAAGATCCTGTCTTTAGCATGAATAAAATAATCAAGAAATATTCTGTGATGCATAGTTCATTTAATCATAGCATGTCACATATACATTTAAGAGTGTATTAAAACCTAAATAGTAAAAACTAATATGAAATAGAAGTATTACTGACATGTTTAATTGAGCAGAGTATCTGATATAGTCGTTATTACTTTTTGTCTTAGGTTAAACTTAAACTTATGATCAAACAATACTGGCTTACACAGAGCTTATGATTAGAAAAAAAGAGGTTTCAAGTAAATCTTCTCTGTGACTTATTGGGGAACCCCTGATAATGTTTTTTTGAGATATTTCCAATGATATACACATATTAAACAAACTTCCTTTGTACATTCTCAGTTACATCCTGTTAGATGTCCTATAAATAAAGGATTGCATGGCCAATAAGTTTAGAGAAAACTAGCTTTAAGCCTACTTATGTTGCTTTGCTCCAGGACTTCTTAGAAATTTCATATGCTAATGCTTAATGGGCATGGAAAATACTTGAGAGAGGGTATTATGTAGTATTCCCCAATTAAAGATTTAATTTCTCCAGACCCTTTTTCTTGTATGGGAGGGGTAAAGAGCAGGGTGAAAAGAGATCTTCCTAAGGTTATATGTGTTGAATGGGTGGTATACTGAGAATCAGGATTACCTTGAAAAGTTCAGAATATACTAGTATGATGGCTTGAGCTTTATATAGGTTACATGTCATAGTGGCCCCGATTCAGCTCTGAGAACAGAGATTAAGTTTTCAGCACAAAAACTCCGAGTGTTTGTGGGGCCTAGTGTATGAAGGAGGTGACACTAGAGCTTCTAAGAGTTGTTTCTCAATTTTATTTGGTCATATAATATTTTTTTCATTTTTTCTTTCTTTTGCTCTCTATTGCTCATTATTTTCTTAATATTTTAGGGACTACAGTTCCACAGAATACACTCTTTTCCCCTAGCAGTGGCAGGGTCTTGGGGTGGACCAAAGTCAGTGGCCTAAAACAACGAGAGTACGAAAGGTCCTTACGAAAGGAATACAAGTACTGTTATATTTAAGTGTTAATTCCATGAATAGTGTACTAGAGAGCTAGTAGATATATGTTGTTCCTTCTGTAGAAACTATTTTTCCCTTTTTTGTGGTACTCAGTGTAAACTTAGGGCTTTTCATGTTCTAGGCAGGCACTCTATCCCTTGAGTTACGCTCCTCTGCCCCCCACCCCGTCCTTTTTGCTTTGGTTGTTTTGTTTCATCTGTACAGTGAGCATCCTTTATATACTTCTCAGACAGCTGGGATGACAGGCATATGCCACCGTGTTCAGCTTTAGTAGTTGAGATGGTGCTTTCATAAAAGTTTTTCAGGGCTGACCATGAACTGCAGTCCTCCCAAACTCCATTTCACAAGTGGCTAGGATTATAGGCATGAGCTACTGTGACTGATTCTTTTTTTCTTTCTAAGATATAGTATTAGAGCTAGGGAAATCTTAGTATCTCATGCTAAAGCTTAAGTTCAGAGAGATGATTTTGATTCATCTATTTATTCAGTTGAGAAAAGTTATGTTATTCGGTAACTTCTCCAGAAATACTCAGAAAGCTGAGATCTATTTTAAGATCCACATTTGAGGATAGCTGACATCAATTTGATTTAGACATTAGTATCACCACTATGAAACAGTACATTTGTTTAAATTGGAAATATCTTTATATATTGTGTGATTCTCGAGTTGTTTGTAGTTCCTTTGCACTATTGGTCAGGGAAAAACATACCTGAGTATTGGTTCATATTATTTCTCTCTTGGGTTCCATGTAAATTGTCTCTCCCCCATCCCCCCCACCCGCTTTGGAGCTAGTTCTTGTTAGATTAGTACCTGTCTTTTTTACCCAGAAACAAAGATGGAAAGTCTGAGTTGGACTTTGAAACAGATCAGTATGACATCCTGGTATCAGACTTTGATGCTGAAGAAAAAGAGGCTGATGATTTTACCTGCAAGCTGCCAGAAACAGAGTATTCTTTACGGGTAAGTAAGAATGGTTCTTCTCCAACGGTGAGAGGTTAGATGTCCTATAACATGAAAGATCAAATTTTAACTCTGTGCTAGGAGTCCTTTGCACAGTCTCCACAGAAGCAGTTTAGGTGATAAGTTTTAGTAACATTTCATTGTAGTTGTTGGCATAAGAAAGCAGGGTATTAACAACTAAGCCAAATCTTTGTCCAGCAAAGGCTTAGCTGGCTAGCAGTATTTTAATGAGAATTTTGGTAGGATTGGAAATGGAGCACAATAACTTTCCCTTCACTGTTCCATAGGCATATTGTAGTATTCTGTATATGAAGCCACGGATGAAAATCTTTCTGCGTCAGAAGAAGGTGACTACCCAGATGATTGCCAAGAGCCTGGCAAATGTCGGATATGATATATATAAACCTACCTACACAGTATCCTTTTTAGTTTTTAAAATTTTAACATCTCGTTTATTTTTATACCTTTATCTTTATTAGAGGGTACCATCCACTTCAGATTTCTTTTTTTTATTATCAAGGTGATATACAGAGGGTTTCAGTTACATAAGTGAGGTAATAAGTACATTTCTTGTCAACCTTGTTACCCCTTCCCTCAATTTTCTCCTACTTTCCCTCCCCCAGATCCCCCAAGTTATGTTGTTTCGAATATATTGTCTTGTGTATATCGCTGTTGCATTGGTTCTTCCTTATCCTTTGTCTCACCATTGTGTTGTTCCCCTTTTCTAATTCAAATAAATGTATATACAGAACCAGGGTACCAAAACCAAATACAGTAACAATAGAGGATATGCCATAGGGGGAATAACATACAAAAGCAACAAAAAATCATATAGTATATTAAAAACAACAACAACAATAAAACCTCTGTGTCCATGTCTTGGAGTTCATTTTGCTTAGCATCATCTTATATGGTCATATGTACATAGCTATTGAGGTATTCTGCTCATCTGCTAAGATTATCCTAGACATATACTAATTATTGTAAATAAAGGACACAATGGGACCTAAATGCTCAACTTATCTGGCCATAAAAGAAATGCAAATCAAAACAACATTGAGATTCCACCTCACCCCCATTAGAATGACTATAGTCAAGCAATGTAATAACAACCAACGCTGGAGGGGATGTGGTCAAAAGGGAATGCTACTGCAATGTTGGTAGGAGTGTAAACTTGTTCTGCCACTCTGGAAAGCAGTATGGAGGTTCCTCAAAAGACTACACCAAGCTCCCCTATGACCCAGCAATCCCACTTTTGGGCATTTACCCAAGTGATCACAAACAAGGCCATACTAAAGCTACCAGCACAGCTATGTTTATCATAGCATTATTCACAATAGCTAACATGTGGAACCAATGTAGATGCCCCTCAGTAGATGAATGGATCAAGAAAATGTGATACACACACATACACACACACACACACACTCTCTCTCTCTCTCTTTCTGTGCTTCCATAAGAAAGAATGACACAGTATCCTTAAACCTACATGTACTTGACTTGTTCATTTCAGGGTTAAATTTCTGGATTTTCATAAGAAGCCCAAAACTTGACTTTTCCAAATCAAATTTGTGTGTAATAATATAAATCCTGTTATAGTATGCTCTAAGGAAGCCTCTCTCTGTCTCTGTTTCTGTCTCTACCTTTTGCTGGTACCAGGGCTTGAACTCGGAGCTTCATACTCTTGCTTGCCTTTTTTACTCAAGGTTGGTTCTCTACCACGTGGGTCAACTTGGGTCATAAGAGGGGTTTCCATGAAGATCTTGGGATGGAAAGAGAATAATTATTTGGGAGGACATTAAGAGAATATGAAGATCTGGGAGAGGTGTGTAACAAGTGGTTTCAGAGCCCCAATGCATGGACTTTTTTTTGTACCAGTACTGGGTCTTGAACTCAGGGTTTGGGTACTGTCCCTTAGCTCTTTCATTCAAGGCTGGTGTCTACCACTTGAGCCATGTCCCTGTTTAGGAGGATGCATTTCTTAAGTCTTAATATGTGCACCAGTTATATAAGAATCATCTGGAAACTCTTAATGGTCCCAAGACATTGTAGCTTATGGTTCAGTAGATTTTGGAATTTTATTTTGAGGTAAAAAATGGGATATTCTCTGGATCACAAAGGTGCAATATCAAATAGTATTTATTGAAATGAACTCCAAGAAATGGAAACAAGAAGTGTTTTTTCTTTGTTGTTTTCATTTTCCTTTTATCTTGTTAGTTTATCTGTCTTTGGAAGAGTAAGGGGGCACAGAAATGGTGGGACAAGGTGAACAAATGCAGCAATGATATTCACTAGACACTGTTGAAAATGAACTATCCAACTTGTGGGTGGAGACAGGAAGGAAAAACTGGGGAAAAGTGAGGGAAGAGGTGACATTGTCCAAAAAGGAATGTACTCTTTATCTGAGTTATGTAACTGTAACCCCTCTGTACACCACCTTTACAATAACATTAAAAATATCCTCAGCTTTTTCTGAGTGATCAGGCTTGAGAATCTCAGCTGTAGGGATAATTCACTATAATCCATATAACACTTTGTTGTATTCCATTGATTCAAATAGAATATTGATTAGAAATTGTCATTCTTTTTGGCTATAATGTGTTTTATTGCTATACAAGTCTAAGTTTAGTCTTCGATAGTTAGGAGGGTACAGACTAATAGGTTTGTTTTTTGTGATGAGATGATGTGTTAACAAATTTAGCATGAATTTTTGGTGGCCATTTACAAGAGCACTTACTTTCACTCCTATACTCCATTGCAGTGGGAATGGATTCCAGATATTAGAGAAAATTTTGTTATAAACTATATTAATTAGGTCAGTCTTTATTAATTGCTTTTTAAGCAAAAGCAATGTCTTGGAAAGCTCACAGTTCTTAAGTAGTTGTAAACATTGTTCTTTTAATTTATTTTCTGCATCATAGACAAATGCAGCCTCACCCTTATAGGTTTGAGACAGATACTCTTAACTTCTTGCCCAAGCTGGCTCAAACCAAAATCTTCCTGATTTCTGCCTCCCAAGTAGCTGGGACTTTGTATTTGTTTTAATGAAAATACAAAGTTTTCTATCGTTCTTTTATGCTTTTTTCGTTCTCTTACCATGGTTTTTGAATCAAGTAGGAATCATTAAAAACTCATCATTACTCAAGGGTAGAATTCTACCACTTGAGCCGCAGTTTCACTTCCCACCTGGGCTGACTTTGAACCACAATCCTCAGAACTCAGCCTCCTGAATAGCTAAGATTACAGGTGTGAGCCACCAGTGCGCAGCAGGTAAAGTATATTTTTCAGTGATTGCTACATATTTCTGAATGTCCTCTAGAAGGTTTGTATCAATTTATATCCAATGGCATTTGGAGTTTTCTTGCAAAATAATGCAATTTTTTGTCTGGTGCTTGTATCCTTAATAACTTCCTTAGAATAAACAGGTGAGAATCACTTTTGGATTCTCTTGCAAAAGTAACAACCAGTTTGGAGTGATGATGTACCATAACAACCGGCTCATAAAGTCCTTTGAGAAGGTGGGATGCCAGATAAAGGTGAGTGATTAATATCTCTTTGATGTAGAGGATTGGAAAGAATAAAAGGAGAATTTCAGGTTTGTAAAGTGTACAACATTATTAATGGTTTCACTTCTATCTTGTACTGGTTGTTAAATTCTCATATAGGAATTCTGTGTTACCAGTGAGCTGTTTTGTGTTGCAGAAATTCTTGCTGCTTGCTATTCTTCACAAGTTTAGTCAGCCTACAGAATTTACTGAGTGCATTGTTTAGGTATCTACTATTGAGAAGCAGAGTTAGAATACCAACAGCTTCACTACCTGTATGAACTTGTCAGTGAATAAAGTTGCTCTTTACATTATCTTGGAGAGACAAAAACACATATTGTTAGATCCATAAAATTTGGTCATTGAAGACAGAGATTTGGGTCCTTGATTTTTTATGAGCTAGGTCCTTTAATTATTTAATATCAGTGTGATTCAGCTTCCTTACCTGTAAATGGAAACATTAGTACTTTTACTTTTTTCTACCTCATAGTTTCAGGGTTGAGAGATTTAAATGGACCAAATATGTAATATAATTTATATTTAAGGGTTGTTTTATTTTTTGTGGTTTATTTGTTTTGGTCGTGGGGCATGAACTCTGGGCCTGGGTGCTGTCCTTGAGCTCTTCAACTCAAGGCAGGCACTCTACCATTTGAGCCACAGTGCCACTTCCGGTTTTCTGGTGGTTAATTGGAGATAAGAGTCTCACAGACTTTCCTGCCCAGGTTGGCTTTGAACTGTGATCCTCAGATGTCAGCCTCCTGAGTAGCTAGGATTACATGCCTGAGTCACTGGTGCCTAGCTTGTTAGAGCATCTTTTGTGTGTATGTATGTGTGTGCCAGTCTTGGGGCTGAAGTCTGTGTCTGGCTGCCATCCCTGACCTTCTGCTCAAGGCTAGCATTCTGCTCCAATTCTGGCTTTTTGGTGTTAATTGGAGGTAAGCGTCTCACAGATTTTCCTGCCTGGATGGCAGGAAAAAATCCTCAGATTCCAGCTTCCTGAGTAGCTAGGATTACAGGGGTGAGCCATCAGTGCCTGGCTACTGTTACATCATTGCTACTGTTATATCATCTGTAAACAACTCATGTTTGTGTGTCAGTCTAATAAGCACCTGGAAACAGTTCCTTCCATTAAAGAATAGATATTTAAAACCCCAAAACTTCTTGCATCAACTTAGAATTAATGATCACTTCAAGTCCGATTCCTTTAGTAATTGTTTTGTGGCCTATGTGGAGAAAATGCTTATTTTAATAGATGAATATGTGTAATGATCACATAACAGCTCTAAAAATTTCATTTCAGTTTTCTAGAGCAGTAGTATTTAATCTTGACTTTTGGAAGTAAAATTTTTTTATTAAATTGAAGTCTTAAAGCAATCTTATATCAACCAGATGAAAATGGAGGTTGTGTGAGTGGAATAGAGGTAACTATTAATCCCTGAAGTAACCTAGGGGTCCATAAATCATAGTTTGAATATTTTCTGCCCTAGAATTTCAGTTTCTTGTTCCATGTAGCATTTGCAGTCTTCTGAAGTATATAAGTGTTTCTCTAGATCTTGATGGCCATTCTGTACTCATGAACATTATGTTACCCTTTCTATGGTTATGTGGAATTAAAAGGAAATGTCTCTGGCAGTTAACTCTAAAGTGTTGAAATTAATATTTTTCTTCTAAGCCAACTCATGGAGAAGGTGTGGGAGTAATTGGAGTCATTGAGTGTAATTTCCTAAAACCTGTCTATAACAAACAAGACTTTGAGTACAACAAGGAGTACAGGTGAGTCACTTTCAACCTTATGTGTTTCTGATAATTTTCTCAGATATGAATCTGCTCTCTGAAAGCTCAAAAACAATCAGCCAGATATATTAAATGAAACTTACTTTAAGTCTGTTTTCCAAGATTAGAGATAAAGTGATTTCATTTTCAAAATTAATGTTTGAAGCTTGATAATCTGGAGTCGGTTGAGATAAATCTTAGGTTTAGAAATGATAAAATGAACTCAGGAGTCATTTGCTAATATATTTGTGATAAATTGAAGGTCATTGTTGTTCACCTTAAAGAGACAAATTGATCTGAAATTGTCAAATACACAGTAAGGAAAATTCTGAAGTTATTACAGACATTTCCTTGAAGCCAGTGAACATTTTTGGGACAGCAAGAAAGACATATGATTTCAGGGAAGATCTAGATTTACCAGGGAAAACCAATAGGTAAGAATCAGAGATCATGTTAGGAAATAAGAATTGTTGAAGCCAGGCTAGAATAGGTTTTGAGTTGGAGGTTTAATTCAGTGGTAGATTATTTGCTGGTATGCACAAGGCCTGGAGATTGATACTTCCTATGTCTTAGTGACATATGAGTGACAGGAGTATGAAAAATAAGAGTCCTTGATGCCTATGAATGAATGTAGAAATATGCAAATAAGAAACTTGAATATGTATGAAGTAAAATGGCTCTTTTCAGGAAAATCTGCCTAATAAAAACCAAGGAAGGCTTTACAAAACAAATTATATTTGAGCTAAACTTAACGGAAAAGTTGGAGTATTCTAGGTGGACAAGTAGGGGAATGATATTCTAGGCAGAATTATATGTAGGACAAAATAGGCAAGAGGTGTTCTTCCAATGAATCTTGATCAGAATCACTTCTTTCTTTCTTCTCTTTTGTATGATGAATTTGAATGAGATGATCATGGATTATCCAAATATATATTCTGTATATCAGAGTGTATTTTGTTAGACATACAGGATTTCTGGCTTAAGCAGCTTAACTTATGCTACATATTTTATTAAAAACAATACACTGCTAAATACAGTCTTTTGAGGATCATACATTTTCATTTTTGTCTGATTCTGTCATCAATTGTCCATTTTGTTTTTGATGCAGGGGATTTAACATAGGGCCTTACTAAAAGTACACAGTCCAATCTATTACTTTTTGTTTACTTTCTATAAAATGAAAATGTATTTAGATAAGGGAGTTTGAAGCTGAGTGTGATGGAGTATACCAGTAATCCCAGCACTCCTCTAGAGGCTGAGGTAGGAAGATTGAGATCAAAGTCAGCCTGGGATATATAACAATACCAGACTTTTTAAAAAGTTCCCTAACAATTTGAGAGATTAGAGAAAATTGTCTGCTGTCACAAACACATCCTATGAATATTATATATATCAAAACAAAAATTATAAAAGAAATACTAGCCATCATACTACTGAAATATCTAGAAATAAATTGTAATTTCATTTTTAATAGTGGTATCAGATTTTAGCTGCCAGTATCAGGATTCAAAATGCAATCAATGCATATTGTTTGTGGAATCATCAGAGAAGTTCAAGATATAGTTTTATTTATTTATTTTTTTGGGTCTGGTCGTGGGGCCTGAACTCTGGACCTGGGCTCTGTCCCTCAGCTCTTCAGCTCAAGGCTAGCACTCTACCACTTCAGCCACAGCCCCACTTCTGGCTTTTTTCTTTTTGCTTATGTGGTGCTGAGGAATCAAACCCAGGACCTCAGGCATGCAAGGCAAGCGCTCTACCACTGAGCCACCTTCCCAGACCTCAAGATACAGTTTTAAGGACCTTACTATGTTGATGATAATAGATTGTCATAATTAGGAAACAAATTAAGAAAGTATTACAATGGCTAATGGGTCAGTCAAAAATCTAACTGGTATGGTGTAGCAAAAACTGTCATGGTAGAATAAACAAAGGGATTGGGGCAGAAAGTATGACATAGGATATGTCTTAAGGCACAAGAATACAAGATTGAGAAAAGAATAGAAAGGGAATTCCAGCATGGAATTTTAACATGAGCTAAGGTAACAATATGGGAAAGGGAAATAAAGAAAATGTAATTGGAATGAAATAATATCAAGTTAGATGGACAGGGGAGGGGCACATGATTGGCAAAACATTTTCTGAGAAGGGCCAGAAGATAAGTATTTTGGCTTTTGTTGGCTATATCATCTCTTTCACAGCTATTCAGTTCTGCCATAGAATAAAAGCAAATATGGACACTTAGTAAAGGGATGAGCCTTGCTATGTCCAAGTATAATTTTGTTGACAAAGTCAGGCAATGAGTGGAATTTGCCTCCCAGGCTGCAGTTTGCTAACTCTATCTTAGACCATCATTCTTCAGATTACACATAGCAAGCTCATAGGGGAGCCATAAGATAATTTCAATTTTTTGTGGGAAATACAGTGATATTCAACTTCTGTCTATAAATAATAGAAAGTATCTTCTATTCTTGTAATAAATTACCACAAATGTAGTGGCTTAAAACAATACTATCTTACTATCTTAATGCAGATCTTGTTGGAGCTTAAATCAAGGTGTTGGCGGACTGCATTCCTTTCTGAAGGCTCTAGGGTAGAATCCATTTCCTTGCCTTTTCCAGCTTCTAGAGGCTGCCAGCATTTGTTGGCCCAAGGCCGTCTTTTCCAACTTCAAAGTCAGTAGTGATGTGTTGTGTTCTCCTCATATTGCATCATTCTAGTGCCTTGCTTTTTCGTTCTGTGATTGTGATTCTTCTTCCCTATTCAAGTTTTAGGATCCCTGTAATTAAATTGGGTAATTTTTGATAGCCTTATTTGTAGACCAGTTGATGAATAACCTTAATTCCATATGCAGTCTTAATTCCTCCTGTGGTATAACCTAAACATACTTAACTATTTCAATAATTAATTTGTAGAAACCTTTGTATGACCATTACTTTATTTTGCTACAATCTGTCCTCTGGTGTCTTAAGATTCACTTCTCACATTTGGAATGTGTTCACCTTGTCCCAGTATCCCCCAAAGTCTCTACCCGTTACAATATTAATTCAGTCTAAAATCTCAACTAAATGTCATCAGCTCAAAGGTCCCAGATTTCATTATCTAAACTACTTATAGATAATTCTCTGCATCTTCCATGTGTGGATGTATCTTCACTCTCTCCCTCCCTTCCTTCATTACAAGACTCCAGTTAAAACTGGTAGAGGAAAGAAGAAGTCACATCTAACAAGTCTAGCTAGGCAAATTCCATTAAATTATAAAGACTGGCGATCATATTTTAGAGCTTCTGACTACCTTCTGATCTTGAAGCTTTGACTTCTTGGTCTTAGAGTTTACCCTTGAAATTATCTTTGTTCATGACAGGTAGCATATAATTGCTTCTGAGTAGTTGTATTAACCTGTTTCCTGACTAAAGAGTTTTGAAGATTCAATAAGCTTCTCTCCATCCCTTTTTATCCAAGTTGGAAGCTTTTGTGCTTGCACCATTCTCAAGAACCTTGTAGGTCTTCCTTGTATGTCATGAATGTTCATTCCTTCAACAGGAAGCTATTGACATCTTGCCTAGATAATCCCATTTCTATTCTTGGCTTCAGCTGAGATGACTATGAGTCACTTGCTTAATCTTTCCAAAGATCGTTTTGTGTGACTGAATATTTTGAGCTTTTGACCTTACTGAGATAATACTACAAGGTTCTTCAACTTCACTCTGTGCTATTTTTCTTGAGCACATTTTCCTGACATGAATCTCCATAAATTTTTATACCTTTTGCAGTCTGGATAGGCTGTGAATTTCACATCACATCCTGGTTCCCTTTAAGCCCAACAGTTTATTTCTTTCCTCTTGCACTTTACATCAACAGCCTGAGAACACCAGACACCACTGTAGCCACATTGCCTGGAGATCTCCTCAAGCTAATGATCAAGTTTCATCATTTACAAGTTGTGCTTTTTACCACTGTGTAATAAGGATCTTTTCTCATTTTCCAGTGACATGTTTGTTTTCTTCTGAGCCTTTATTAGCAGTGCTTTTCCATATATCCATTAACAGTATGTTTATAGTATTATTCTCTAAGACAATTTGTATTTTCTCCAGTTTTTCACTTCCTTCTGAGTCCTCACCAGTGAACTTTTTGATGTCATATTTCTTTTTTAAATAGGTTGAAATTGTACACAATAAGGCGTTTCATTATTGCATTCCCATGCCTGCATACAATCTTATTCACCCTACCTCCATTATTCCCTCTTATCTATCACCTTCTTTTCTCTTCCCCTTGCACTTCCCAACTAGTGCTTCCTCTGTTACCATGACTTTGTTTTGTCTTCTTTTTACTACTACAGATGAGAAAGAATATGCTATACTTATCTTCATGGAACTGGCTTATTTTACTGAACATTTCCATTCATTTTCCAGTAAATTATATCATTTTATTCTTAACGATTGAGTAAAAGTCCATTGCGTATATATGTCACGTTTTTTTTTTTCCTTCCTTCCCCCTTTTAGTTCTGGAGTTTTGAACTTGGTCGCACACTTGTTAAGCAGTTACGCTGCCAGCCATTTTTATAGCTTTAGTTATTTCTGATAAGGGTTTTACATTTTTTTGTACAGGACAGCCTGGACCACGATCCTTCTATTTACCCTTCTGTATAGTTGAGATGATAGGTGTAGACCATCATACCCAGCTTTTTTGTTGAGGAGGTAAAGTCCTGCTAACTTTTTACCTGGCTATCCTCAAGTTGCAGTCCTCTTGATCTCTGCTTTCCAAGTAGCTGGGGTTATAAGCATAAGCCCTCACTCCCATCCACATTTTCTTTTACCATTTGTGCATTGATGGACACATAGACTGATTCTATAATTGGCCTTTTGCAGCATCTATATTTCTATTAACAGTTAACTTACTGAAATTAGGCTTTTTACTATTTCTAAAAATTATTCCAGCCTCTGCCAACTTTCCATTGAAAGATAGTCTATCATGTTAGGTATTTGTTTTAGTAGTATCCCATTTCTAGGTACCAAACTGCTATACTTTTTGTTAGATCATTTATTTGTGAATGTAGGTTTAATCCATTTAAAGTAATCACGAGGAAAATTATTTGATATCTGCTATTTGTTTCATAACTACCCTGTCCCTCATTTCATACATTACATCCCACCCCACTTCCCCCACACCCCCAAGAACTGGGCTTTGAACTCAGAGCCTCGTGCTTGCTTGGCCGGTGTTCTGCCACTTGAGCCAGTCTTCCAGGCTGTTCTTGTTGGTTATTTCTGCCTGGGCTGGCATCAAACTGTAGTACTCTGGATCTCAGCCTTCTGGGTACCTATGATTGCAGGCTTGAGCCATCTGTAACAAGCTACATTGCTGTCTTTTTTTGTGTTTAATTTTTTTTTTGGTCGGTTGTGGGGCTTGAACTCTGGGCATGGGCACTGTCCCTGTGCTCTTTAGCTCAAGGTGAACACTCTACCACTTGAGCCACAGCGCCACTTAGGGTTTTCTAGTAGTTTATTGGAGACAAGAATCTCATGGACTTTCCTGCTGGGGCTGGCTTTGAATCTCGATCCTCAGATCTCAGCCTCCTGAGTAGCTAGGAACTAGTGTAAGCCACCAGCGCCCAGCTAATTGGTATTTTTTTTATAGTGAAGTGTTTAAATTCCTTTTTAATTTATTTTTCTGTATATTTTTGTACTAGTTGGTTTTTTGTGGTTATCATGTAGGGATTGTGTTTAACATCTGTCTTTTCTCTCTTCTCCTTCTGTACCTCCATGATACCTGTGTTATGACACTAATGGTGTCCCAAAGGTGCCTGCGGCTCCACTCACTGTTCAATTTTTTTTTGTTCCTTAGTTTCAATAATTAATTTCTTCAGGCTTATTTATTGGTTCTTTTGTCTGCTCAAATCTGCCTTTGAATCCCTCTAGTGAATTGTTCATTTTGGTTTTTGTATTTTTCAACTGTAGACTTAACATTTTCTTGATTTCCTTCACATTTGCATTTGGCTCTTTGAACGTCCTTAAGATAGTTGTTTTAAAGTCTTTGGTAGGTTCAACTTCATACAATTTCTGTTGAATTTATTTTTTCCTTTGAGTGAGCCATACTTTCCTGTTTTCTTTGCACTGTGATTGTTGTTGTTGTTGAAAGCTGGAGAGTTGAAGCTAATAGCATGTCAACACTGAAAAACATTCCCTTATTTTCCCATGGTTTGTTTGTATTTCTGTAAACTGTCTTTCTGCTAGGAATCAGATTAAAGGGCAAACTTTAGGTCTTCACACTTCCTTTCAGAACTCACAGCGACTTTCTAATTTTCCACATACATGTGATTGCTTTTGAATCTTAGTTTACATCTGGCTCCCAAAACAAAAAAGAGAGAAAAATGAAAAAAGATAAGCAAGGTACCATTTCTTTGAATCCTTTAGACATTGGTTAAGCTGGAAGATGACAAGCTTGGAATAACGGAGGAAATGCAATAAATTGGCCACTTGCCTTTTATATACTGTGAACAGAAATAGCAGTGGGTGATAAGCGCAGGTCCCATGTTTGTAGGATAGCCTCCCATTTGCTTCCCTACAAGGTGCTCCTTGAACACATCCAGCTTTGCCTGTCATGGCAAAGCTGCCATGACAGTGAATAAAATTAACCATAGTTTGCCATCTTAGAGTTCCACAATACTTAGGCAGATTCTGCTAATGCAGTTGTTGTCTAGGCAAGTAGACAGATTCCATATGCTTCCTACATTGCCATCGTCCTGGCCTATCTTTTTTCCTTTCTACAGTAGTCAGAATCCAAGTAAGTAAAGTAGAGGTGTGGAAGTTATTGTTTGGGTGGTAGTAGAGTTTGAACTCATAGACTCATGCTTGCTAAGCAAGTACTCTAGCCTCACGTTCAGCCCATTTTTCCTTTAGTTTGTTTTTCATATAAGGTCTCATGATTTTGCCTAGGCTGGCCTTGGACCACAGTCTTCCAACCTATTTTTTCCAGTAGCTGGAATTACAAACACATATTACAATGTTTGGTTTATTGGTTAATATAGAGTCTCGCTAACTTTTCACCCAGGCTGGCCTTGATCCACAATCCTCTTAATTTCTACCTTGTAAGTAGCAAAGAATAGCTTGATTAACAGGTGTTTGCCATTACATCCTACATGGAAGAGTTATTCTTAAGGAGAGAATAGGTCTGCAAAAACTTTGAAGAACAATCCAGAGTACAAAGATGTTTTGTAATTCTAAATTTGTAATGTTCCAGCTGTATATAGCTCTACATTAAGTTGTAATGTTATGATATACAATTCAAAAGGACTAGTTAATTAGACAAAGTTAGAATTCAGATACAGCCTTCAATAGTATCTATGTAGTAGAATATTTGCAGGAACTTTTTTTCTCAATACAACTACTACTGCTATAGTTAGCATTTGGCAACAGAGGAACTGCATTGATATATAAAGCTAATACTTGATGGGTTTATCATAGGATACAGTATTTGGTCCTCTGATTTTAACTTGATCCTGAATTCTTCACCTGTTACCATCTGACAAATCAATGCCTATCAGTGTAAAATATTTGGTTTTGTCCTAGCTCTGCAGTTTGATGCTCTGCCATAGACTGTATGCCATAGTTTATTCAATGATTCTACACATGCCAAAAGTTTGCAGAACCCTGCTTTCTAGGCTAGTTCTAGTGACAATTTTGACTTTTCAACGAAAATGATTACAATATGCAGTTATCAGAGCAGTGTACATCCATCTTAGTTTCTTAACGAGTAGATGTTGAAAACTGCCTAATATTCTAAATGGTTAGCCTCTGTAAATGGGAACTTTTTTCAACAAGTGCTGTGCTTTGACGTATTTCCTGTATTTTCTTTCAGATCAACAATAAGTGCCCTTGCTCAGAAGCTGAATGCTTATTGGAAGGAAAAGACATCTGAAGGGAATTTTGAGTTCTTCCCTATAGCCAGAATAGTACCGTGAGTAATAAAATGCATGAAACTTGATACGTTGAATTGAAGCCCCTTTGTGCAACTGCTTAAAAATAATACAAAAATAAAATAAAATGCATGAAAGCAATAAGGAGTCTTGTCCTTGCATAAAGTCAAAGGAACAAGGATAAAAGGGCTTTTTGCACCAGGAAGTTTTATTAATTAAAATAAGAAAGCATATATATTAATTATATCGCATTCTAAACTTCCTGATTCTGTTTTCATACTTGTGTGTTTGAATCATAAATACATGGAAGTTTAAGTAGTTAGTTTAGTTGAGACAGAGTGGCGTTATGGAAGACCATAGATGCTAAAATCACTGCCCTCTGGAATGAAAAAGTCTAGATTTGTTTCTGAATATTTGGGTGAATTTTGGTAAGTTTCTTCACTATCTTAGTGTATTGAATTAGGTGGCATGTTTAGCATACTGCTTGGCATAGAGAAATTGTCAAATATCTCAATAAACTTTCCTTCTCAGGTGGTAGTGTGCCAGCCAATGAGGGAAAACAAGTGTCAGATAGTGAGTTTGAGTGCTGGTCTCAGATACAAAGGAAAAGCTTTCCTTCTCTTTAGTACTACTGAATATTGTTTGTACTGAACTAGTATTTCAAAGTAGAAATAGCATATTACAGAAAAGGTAGAATTAATTGAGAAGAAAGAATTTATTAAGAGAAATAATGGCACCCAGAAGAAGATAAAATGCCCTAGTGGATTAGGAATGGACTTAGTGCAGAGTAGACTGAGTAACAACACATACACCACTAGCTGTACCACAATCAAGACAAAAATTACAAAAATTACAGTGCCCTCACTTGTTCAGGGGGAGGCATCTGTATAACAAATATATGATGTAAAATTTTGTTTCAAATGCAACCTGATTACTGTATATTTGTTTCTACCTCATTCTAAAGATCTCAGCTCATGTTTATCCTCCCTGGTTTAAAAAAAAAACTGAAATGAAGACAAGGTACTTTGCTTTCCTTTTCAAGTTAGTAATGATTAATCCAGTCACACATGTTCATATACTGCTAGAGAATGTATATGCTGGAGGTAACAATTTTAGTAATTATTCTTGAGTACTTAAATGCCAAGCATTTTTAATTCTTTATGTATAGTCATTTGTTGAGTAATCACAATAACCTTGGATATACACAGATACTACTGGAGAGACACAGAGGCTACTATTTGTCTATAGACAGAAGGAATGTGGTATACCTAAGGTTCAAATATAGGCATTCTGGCCCCTAAACTTCCATTCCTCTAGAGGGATACGGGGAGGGGAATATAGTACAGCTCCCTTAACCCCCCCTTTTTTTTTAACTGCAAGCATTAGTTCAAAATCTCTCTTGTCTTCCTGTATTGAAGGGCCTACTGTGGTCTGCATAGAATCTAAATTGGAGAGTTGTGTTTTTCCCAGAGATAATAATATTGGCATCTTTCTGGAAGACAGGCTTCCATGCAGGACCACGTGGAACCAAAACTATGACCTTTCTTCTCTCCTCTATTACTGCTGAAGCTGCTGCTTACAGGCTCTGGCTGTGAAGAACACAATGGCTGTGTGGTAATATTCAGACAGCAGAGGTCAGGCCTGAGCCTAGATCTGAAAAGCTGCAAGTCTAAGAGAAAGCTCTAGGTCTGAAATCATATGTGAAATGCCTTTTGAAAAAGCAATTTTTAAAAAGAGGACATTGTATTTGAGTGGTAAAATTATGAATACCTTCTATTTTCCTTATATCTTTCTGTGTTTTCCAATTTTTCCATGAGTGAGATTGTATAAAAGCAGTATAAATGCAATATATACAAAATCTAATGGTGAAATAGGCCCAAGGTATCCCTCTCTCAGCCTTTCTTGTCTTTTTTTTTCTAGCTTTTGCTCTCCTCTGTCTAACCTACCTTTCACATCCTAGCTATTAACTACCTTTACCATGCATGGGCCACCCCTTCACAGAGAAACAAATTCACTTGACAGTATAGGTGGGAATGGGTATACATTTTAAGAGTCTCGAAACTCTGGAAGATTTTGTGATTTAACTTTATGTTGTTGATATGGACTTACCATTTCTAGTTATGAACCATTACTTTTAGTTACGAAACTTAAACAAATTTTTATATACTTTTAAAGAATAACTTTGGGTAAAATTTTGACTTTACCAAGTGCTTTTACCAAGTTAATAAATTCTAGAGTTATAAACATCCTATTATTTGCTTAGGACAAAGGTTTTCAAGGTATTACTGACCTCCATAAATAATGGTATTAATACCTAGTATTTTTCTTTTTCATATTTGGTATAGTTCCATCATTTTTGGCCCCTTCTGGGGCTTGAATTCATGGCCTCAGTCTCATTCAGCTTGTTCACAGCTGATGCTCTACCATTTGATTCTTGCCTCCAGTCTGGCATTTTGCTAGCTAATTGGAGATGGATTCTCTCTCTCCCTCCTTCCCTCTCTCCTCTTACTCTTCATTTTCTCTTCTCTTCCCTCTCTTTCTCTTTTTCTCTCATCTTTCCTCTCTTCCTTATTCTCCTCTCTTTTTGTCCTCTCCTTTCTCTGTCCCTCCATCCTTCTCTTCTCTCTCTGATTTTTCTGCCCATGCTGGCTTTGAACCTCAGTCTTCAGATCTCAGCTTCCTGAGTAGCTAGGATTATAGGTGTGAACCACCGGTACCTAGCTCACTCTATCTTTATTTAATCTATGAAATTCAAATTACAAGCATTTTAGACATAAACTATGACATTTCACACATTTTTTATGTGAAACTAATTTGTTCAGTTTTTCACTTGTGGATATGTGTCTTATGTACCACAAAGCAGAGAGCTAGGATGTACACTATCATACTTCTATTTTCCTTCATTCAGGAAGATTCCTGACCAGACATGGGTACAGTGTGATGAATGTCTTAAATGGAGGAAGCTTCCTGGCAAGGTTGATCCCTCTACATTACCCATAAGATGGTTTTGTTACTATAATCCTCATCCAAACTACAGGTAAAGTTGTACATCTTAGTAACATTTCATTTGTTTATATATTCTAAGATACTTCATCTCAAATCTATAGTTTTCAGCCAGGTAATTCTATATATACTCTGGTTCCTCAAGGGATTTCAAATTTGAGAATGATGAGTTGACTTTTTATGTGTCTTCTATATGGAAACAATGTTAATAGTGCCTATTGTCCATTAAGTACTATTTGTCTATGTGTGTGTCTTTCATTTAACATGTTTTCCTTGTAGCATCCAACATCCAAATCGTCTATGGACATTGACTTCAATTTAACCATTTTTAATCTGACTTGGCAGTCATAAATGTTCATAGTAAGTGACTGCTTCAGTCCAGTTGTAACTTTTAAAAAATTATTTTTTGTAGGATAAATGCTGATAGAAAAAAGGTTCATTTGCCAGGCACTGATGGGTCATACCTGTAATCCTAGCTACTTGGATCTGAGATCTGGACAATGACAGTTCAAAGACCTGGGCAGAAATGTCTGTGAGAAATAAGAAATAACCAATCCTTTTTGGGTTGGAGGTATGGCTCAGTTGGTAGAGTACTAACCAGTGAGTGAAAAGTGTCAGGTACTAAGTTCTAGTCTTGGACCTTAAAAAAAAAAAAAAGAGAACCCTGGGCGCCGGTGGTTCATGCCTGTAATCCTAGCTACTCAGGAGGCTAAGATCTCAGGATCATGATTGAAAGCCAGTGTGGGCAGGAAAGTCGGTGAGACTTTCTAGTAAACCACTCAGAAAACTGGAAGGGTCACTGTAGCTCAAGTGATAGAGCAATAGCCTTGAGCTGAAGAGCTCAGAAACAGCGCCCAGGCCCAGAGTTCAGGCCCCAGGATCAACAACAACAAAAAAGAGATAAGTTGGGGCTGGGAATGTGGCTTAGTGGTAGAGTGCTTGCCTTGCCTGCAAGAATGAAGCCCTGGGTTCAATTCCTCAGTGCCACATAAACAGAAAAAGTCGGAAGTGGCACTGTGATTCAAGTGGTAGAGTGTTGGCCTTGAGCAAAAGAAGCTCAGAGACAGTGCCCAGACCCTGAGTTCAAGCCCCAGGACTGGGGGAAAAAAAGAAAAAGTTTGTGATATTCCCATTTCCAAACTAAGTAGTGAAAAGCTGGGCTGGAGGAATGTTTTAAGTGATAGAGTACCAGCTGAACATGCCAGTTAAGCAAACATGATGCCTTGAGTTCAAATCCAGTGCCATAAAAGTAAAAAAAAAAGGTCCTCCAGGCCAGGCACCTGTAGCTCCTGCCTGTAATTCTAGCTACTCAGGAGCCTGAGATCTGAGGATCGTGGTTCAAAGCCAGACTAGGTAGGAAAGTCCATGAGACACTTACCTCTAATTAACCACCAGAAAACAGAAGTGGCGCTGTGGCTCAAATGGTAAAATACTCACCTTGAGCTCAGACACCGAGGCCCAGAGTTCAGCCCCACAACTGATCAAACCCCCCTCCTCCCCTCCCACCCCCACCACATACACAAAAGGTCCTCCATCCGAATATGCTATTTAGGGAAAATGTTTAAAATAGAAAATATTAAGTAAGTGAAGTGTAGGTCTATAATGAGTAGGCATTTTCTCTAGTCTTCAGATGTGCCTAGGCACCTCTCCACGTAAAGTAAATGGTGACTATATGAATAGAGTAGGAGATTAGTGCTTGTTTCATTTTTTTAATTCTTTATATTATATGTTTCTACTTAGTCCAAGAGATAACCTTCCAGGCAATAGTTCTAACCTTTACTCTCATAAAATGGGTTTAGTTTCTATTTGTTACTCCTTTTTGTTTATTTTATAGGATCACTTTTGACCATTGAATACATTATCCTAAAATTTTCAATTTTCTTCTTTACATACAGCAAAATTTTGTCCAGTGAGTGGGACACGAACTGAGGATTAAACTGCCCTATCATAATTTAAACTGCTGCCCCATCATAATTGTAAGGAAAGTTAAGGATAAACTGAAAAACACATTTTGCTTTCAAGAGATGGATTTATTGTCTGTGTTGCAGGAGATGCTCTGTTCCAGAAGAACAAGAACTCATTGATGAAGACCTATACCTGAGCAAAGCTAAGCAACAGTTGAGTATATATGAGGTGGTGGAATTCATCGTAGAGTAGATGGACCTGAGTTTCTCAATAATTTCCTTATTCAGCTCTATGCTCTGCAAATTCTTTATTCCTATTTACTTATAATCATCTCCTGATATCCTGAATGTTTCCAATTGTCTCCTCCTCTTTCTCTCTACCCCATATAGAATTTGAAAACTATTTAGTAGCATAGGTTAGGAAGAAAGAAAACCTTAGTTATTCAACAAGGCTCACATTATTTCTAATTTGGAATGGACATTATCTCCTAAATCTATCATTGGTGCTCCATTTCAAACTGAGATGTTTCATGAATGAACTAAACAGAACTTTTTTGGGGGACAGATTTTTGCTATGTAGCCCAGTGTGACCTTGATCTCACTATCCTTCTGCCACCACTTCTGGAATCTAAATAGCACTTTTATCTTCTAGAGCTCAAACTATTGAGAAGAAGAAGAAGCCTATGGAAAATATACACCAACAGGTGAGAGGAAGGTCTGCCCCTTTCTTGTTTTTACATAAAAATTGTCCCAACAGAGGAGAAAGGTTGAAGGAAGCAGCAGTTTTGAAAGCTGCATAGAAATGATAAGGATTTCTTTTCATGGTGTTTTCTTTTTTACTGAATCTTTGAGTTTGTGTTAATCTGTTGTTACTGATGTTTAGATCATCTAAAATATACGAGTCAAATGATTTGATTCCCAGATTTGGATTCAATACTGACTCTGGGCAGTGTGAATGTCACATTCAGTGTCACAAAATAGTCCAGGCTGTGTTCTATCCTCATACAGGCTGCTCCTCTTGAGTGTCTGGTTTTCCTGTCTCCTTTCTTTCAGGATTCAGAGATGATTTCTTCCTCTTTTTCTCTTGGGAAGAAGGGTTGGTTCTTTGTGTCCTCACCCCTATCCCTGCTTTCATGCTGGCTGGCTTTGTAAAGACTCTGCTGTTTTGAATTTTCAGGAGCACTGTCTCTCGGACATGGTTGCCCAGCTCCGGACGCTGAAGGGTGCAATAAGGTTGGCCGTCCTTTCAGAGACACTCCTTTCCTGACAGCCACCATAGCACCCATATATCTTCCCTACCCAACCTTGCCTTTCTGCATGCTTTCCCTACTTCCCAAAGTTCTGTTAGTTGCATGTTACATTTACTTTCCACCCTCTTGGTCAGGGTAGGTCAGACTGATGAGGAGAGAGGCAGTTTGATACTAATGCTTCTGATGGCCTGCTCAAACCCAAGCATATGAGCAGTTAGGTTTCAAATACTAATGTCTTAGCTTAATACATGTTGAAGAGATTGGGAGCTTTCCTACTGCCCTGTCCTCATTCAGTTTACCTCCCCCCTGTTTTCCTTTATCTGAATCATTCATACTCTCTTTATAAGCTGGCTCTTCCACAAGATCCCAGATGCATGTCTCTGTGAGTGTACTATGAAAATATTAGTCTCTAGCATGCATTTCTCCCAAACCAGCACAGACACTTGCTGCAACGCTTTTTCTCTCCACCCTTACTTTCATCACAGACCTCAGAAGAATGAAAACCCAGCCTTAAACTGGGTCACCAGAGGGAAACACAGTGATTGGGGGCCAGGGTTTATGTTGTGGGTGGGATAGGTCTAGGAGCCAATACATGAGTTGAGGGAGGTCTGTGAGTGTCTAGCTGGTAAGGTTAATGACTGAACGTGCCTGAGTTCAGTGTTCTGATGTACATTGCTGTGTACTGTTTGTTTCTGTAAGGAACAGTTTGTTTTTATTTGGACAAGCATTCTTTCCTAGCATCACAAGGATTGACTCGTCCTTAAAATTTTTGTGTTTGATTTTGAGATTTTTATGAATTCTTTCTTTATTTGCTAGGTATTTAGCAATCCACCAAAGATTCCTCCTGTTCAAGATATGGCTGGATTTAATGCCAAGATAACTGGATTTGAGAGAATGGATAGTCCTCGCCTACTTCTAACTGCTGAAGATGAAAGCAGATTACCTGCTCTTCAACTTAAACCTCTGGATCCAAGTGTTTTTCATTTTTCCAGGTGACTAAAAAACATTATCTTTTGTCAGTAGGAAGCTGCATGGTCTGTTTTCCTGTAGAGTAAGTTGATCTGTTCTATGTTTATATTTGTCCTCAGCCACATCATAACATTCACAAGGAAAGGCATAGTTTTAGGTTGCTAGAATGGTCTGTTGCATGCACCCTTAATTTTACCGTGGCACAGCTGATATGTCAAGTGTATGTATTTTGAAGTGATCCTTTGCTGAGGTTCTTTTACGTATTAGGTGTTTAGGTTATGTTGGGAATTGTACAAGTGAAATAACAGGCATGGTAACTCTTAGAAAACTAAAGTGCATTATAAATAAAATAACATAGACAAGCACTGTTCCATCCTTGAGTCTTTAGAGGATTTGTAAGACCTAGCACACGCTGGTTGTGTACAAAAATAGCTAGTAGAAATTTGTGCTATTACGTAAGTGTTACCACATTGTTCTTTCTCTTTGAGTATATTAGGAAAGACTTTAGTCTTGGGCTTTATACTTCTTCATCTTCTAGCACCTCACCAGTGTTATTTTGTGGATCCTTATAAGAGAAAACAGCATAAGGATTCATTTTTTTTAAATACCAGAAGTATCTAAAATTTTAGGATAGGACTACACTCACAGTGCCACAAAAATGGACTCAGTACTCCATTTCATGACTCCTTGCTTTCTACTCTGCTGTGCTTCTCACCCTGGCAGTTGCTCTGTAATAGTAGAAACTTCTATACTTGTCAATAGTGTGACCTTTATATACTGAACTTGCAAGTGCCCCTTTTTAGTTTGTCTTCTTAAATGTATATTAGACTACATTATAAGGTAAAAGTGTTACTGGTTCTTTACATGTTGGTTTCTTCTTAATGTCTTTGTAGCTTCTTATCTAGCTACACAATTGTACAGGTTATAAGTCCTCTGTTCAGTGAGTCTTCCACAAATAAGCCAGGTAAATAATGGAGGAATCTCAAGACCCTCTGAACTTGAGTGCATAGTCTCAAGAGGAAGTAAGCTTTTAGGAGTAAAGATAATAAGCGCTTTGTTTTGACAGTGCTAGAGTTTGAACCCAGGGCCTTGTGACTGCTAGGCTGGCTCTCTCCTACTTACACACTTCCAGCTTAGCTTTTTGCTGGTTATTTTGGAAATGGAATCTCCAAACTTTTCTTTCTTTCTTTTTTTGGTCAGTCATGGGAGTTCAACTCTTGGCCTGGGCTCTGTTCCTCAGTTCTACCACTTGAGCCACAGCCCCACTTCTGGCTTTTTTCTGCTTATGTGGTGCTGAGGAATCAAATCCAGGGCCTCATGCATGCGAGGCAAGCGCTGTACCACAGAGCCAACTTCCAAGCCCCCTCTCCCAGAATATTCTGCCTGGAGGCTAACCTTAAACTGTATTCCTCCAGATCTCATGCCTGCTAAGATTGCAGGCATGAGCTACTGGTGCCTGGCAAAATGAATTAAACTTTTAAAGAGTTAAATGACATTATTGAAAGCATCTATAATCATGTCTTGGAATATGGTAGGTATTTTTAATGGTTGAGTCATATTGAAGGAGAAATTTATGATTGAAATTTGTATTAAGGGTGTAAATTATAGTCTCAGTATGTTGGGCTTAGCTCTACCCTTTCTCATCTATACTTTTAAAATTCCCATTGTATACTTCAGGGGTATACAGTAAGTACCTTGTGTTACTTCTTACCTTGGTCTTCTGGACACTTACCAAGTAATTGCTTTTGAGTCCTTACTGTACTATGGATACTTCTCCCCCCCCAGTATTTCTTTTTCAATTCTACAGTGATTTTTTTTTTTGGCGGGGATAATCCCAGAAGGATTATAAATGGTTATTTGTACATTGTATTTTTTGAGTGCAATACTATAATACATCCATTGGGTGGCATACTTCGTCAGTCTTTATTGGAGTGTTTGTATGAGTCTTTAGGAATATTATATCCAGAGTGAGATTTAGGCCTAGGTAGAGGACAGGTCAAGTACTTTGGCCATTTTTATGTAAGTTTAATTTCTTGTCTCCTTTTTTGATGTTGGGGATTGAGCACACTTGTGCACACTAGGCAAACAACCACTGTGCTACATCCCCAGGCTGTAATTTTAATTTATTGAAAATAAAATTCTTTCAAGAGAAAAAGATATGTGATACCTGATGATGCTTATACTGTGTTATGAAAAGTCAGTAAGTGATAATAATTGTGTCATTTTAAGTATCAGTGGCTGATACTTGTAATCCTAGCTACTTAGGAGACTGATCTAGAGGATTACAGTTTAAAGCCAATCTGAGGAGAAAAGTCCAGTAGACTCCCAACTCCAAAATAACCAGCAAAATGGTGGCTCAAATGGTAGAGTGTGAGCCAAGTTAGCAAGCTGAGCAAGCTCATGGCCCTCAGTTCAATCCTCTATAATGGCAATATATATGAATGGAATAAATAGGTTTAGTCATGAACTAGAAAGTGCTCCTTTGACTGGGCACTGGTGGTTCACGCCTGTAATCCTAGCTACTCAGGAGGCTGAGAGCTGAGGATCACGGTTCAAAGCCAGCCCAGGCAGGAAAGTCCATGAGAATCTTATTTCCTATAAACCACCAGAAAACCGGAAGTGGCACTGTAGCCCAAGTGGTAGAGCGCTAGCTTTGAGCTGAAGAGCTGAGGGACAGTGCTCAGGCCCAGAGTTCAAGTTCCATGACCAACAAAAAAAAATTATTTTTACAGAAGAAAAGGGAAAAGAAAGAGTTGTAGAGGGGGTAACTTTGATCAAAGAGTAAATTATATGGATTATACATGTATGGAAATACCACAATGAAACCTCTTTTATACGATTAATGTTCACTAATTAAAAAAAAAGAGAAAAGAGAGAAAACGCCAGGAGCTGGTGGTAACTTACCTGTATTCCTAGCTACTCAGGAGGATGAGATTTTTTGAAGATCCAAGTTTGAAGCCAGCCTGAGCAGGAAAGTCTGTGAGACTCATAACTCCAGTTAAACACTAAAAAGACAGAAGTACACCTGTGGCTCAAGTAGTAGAGTGTGAGCCTTGAGGTGACAAAACCAAGCAAAAGCATGAGGCCTTGAGTTCAATCCCCAGTCCCGAAAGAGGGGGGGAAGGGGGGAGAGGGAGAGGAAGAAGAATCTGAGAGACAGACATTCATGAAAAGAACATCAGACAAGCTCTTGACCTTCTTCCCACAGAAGCACAAATAAAGAAGCATGTTTTAGGAGAATAAGGTTTGGAAACTTCCATGCATCTGTCATGTACCTCAGCTAACAGGACTGATAGAGAAATTGCTTTTGGTTTCCAGACCCTGCAATTACTGGGCTCTCCTGGGATGACCCTTTGACCTGGGGAGGGCAGCCTCTACCCCCTGTGGCTCCAATAGGCACTCAAATTTGTGCCTTTTATTTTCGTTCCTTGGGAGAGTTGACAGCACCTTGGGATCCATCAGACACTGGGCCTTTCATAAATGTTTTCAGCAAATTTTCATTTGCAGCCTCCAGTACTGAAAAAATGAGAGAAAGGGAGAGAGAAAGGGACAGAAGGAGAGAAGGAGGGAAGGAGGAAAGAGAAGAGAAATTTAGAAATCAAGAGAGTGATACCAGTGTAAAGTTACCTACTTCAATGAAATAGCCAAGAAATATACCCTTATATTTGTGATCACTAGATTTTTAGAAAGGGTGCCAAGAAGGTTCAAGGGGAGAAAGACAGGGATGGGACAGCTAGTATCTGAATGCAAGCAAATGAAGTTGGATTCCTATCTCACACTGTACAAATAAAGCTAACTCTAAATGGCTCATAGATCTAAATGTAGGAGCTAAAACTAAAACTCTTAGAAGAAAGCATGGCAGTAAATACTTAAGACTTTAGATTAGACTGTAGTTTTTAGATGTGACATGAAAAGCTCAAGGAACAATGAAAAATAGTTAAACTTGCCTGCATACAGATTTTTTTTAAAAAAAACTTTGAACTGCAAAGGATACTGCCAAGAAAGTGACAGGAGTTTGGGTGACAGTGGCTCACACCTGTAATCCTAGATATTTGCAAGGTAGAGAGTGGAAGAAGAATGGTTTGAGGTAAGCCTAGGAAAAAAGTTCATGAGACCTCCTTTTAGCAGAAAAATCTGGGCATGGTAGTGTGAGCTTGTCATGTGAGCTACAGAGGGAAGCATAAGGAAGACATGCTCCATGTCAGCCTGGGCAAAAATAAACAGTAAAGTGGCTGGAGGCTTTATATCTCAAGTAATAGAAAACCTGGGTAGCAAACATGAAATCTGACTTCAAATCCCAGAATTGAAGGGGGGGGAAAGTGGTAGGAAAGTCAGGTGGTAACATTGCAAATTTGAGGCCAGCCTGGACTACATAGTGAGCGCAAGGCTAGCCTGTATTGTAGCAAGATTCTATATTGAAAAGAAAAAGAAAAGAACCCCACAGACTGTGAAACCCATTGTGGAAGTATTATACATGATGAGAGAGTAATCTAGAACATATAAAAAGCTATTACATAGCTGAGCGTTGTGGCTCATACCTGTAATCTTAGCTTACTCAGGAGGCTGATATCTGAGGAGCGAGGTTCAAAGCCAGCCCGGGCAGGAAAATCTCCAATAAACTACTCAGAAAACCGGAAGTAGTGCAGTGACTCAAGCAGTAGGGTGCTCACCTTGAGCTGAAGAGCTGAAAGCCCAGAGTTCAAGCCCCACTACTGACCGCCAACCCCCCCAATAAAGCTATTACAGGCCAGGTGCCAGCTATAATCCTAGCTGAGATCTGAGGATCACAGTTCAAATCCAGCCTGGGCAGGAAACTCAGCAAGACTCTTATCTCCAATAAACCACTCAAAAAACCAGAAGTGGCACTGTGGCTCAAGTGGTAGAGTGCTATCCTTGAGCTGAAGAGCTAAAGGACAGTGCCTAGGCCCAGAGTCCAAGCCCCATGACTGACCAAAAAAAAAAGCTATTCACTGATTAAAAAGACAAACAGCTAATTAAAAATGACCAAAAGAGATAGGCAGTT